AAAAGTCCTTTAATAAGGCTTGTGTAATAAGGGAAAAACTCAATTGTCCGATTAAAAGAAATCTTGCTGTTGCTGGGGACAGTGAGTTAAAAGATTCAATACTTTGGCTATAGAGACTATAATCTCTGCCAAGATCAGTCTTTGTTAAGGCTTGTCTCTGTCCGATTAAAAGATATAGTGCTGTAGCTGGGACGGCAATTTAACATTCTGCTACAGAGAATTTTACAATCTCTGCTAAGATCAGTCTTTTTTAAGGCTTGTTACAATGATATATGTCCGATTGAAAGATGTCTTGCTGGAACTGGGACAGCATTATAACATAGAGAATACTTCAATCTCTGGTAATATCAGCCTTGAAGGCTTTTACAATGATTAAAAGATATTTTGATGGAGCTGGGGCAACAAGTTTCAGTATTCTGCTATAGAGAATACTTCAATCTCTGCTAAGATCAGCTTTAAGGCTTGTACAACGAGTATGCCCAATTAAAAGATATGTTGTTGTAGCTGGGGCAACAAATTAAAATCCAATATTCTGCTATGCCTTTACTAAGGCTTGGACAATGATGTCCTGAGAAATTCAATACTCTGCTTAAACTGTATAGTTCCATACTCTGGAAAATTTGATGGAGAATAAGTCCTTTAATAAGGCTTCTTTAATGGGTTATCTAATAAGGGCAAAAGCTCAATTGTCAGATTAAAAGATATCTTGTTGTAACTGGGACAACATGTTAAAATAGAGAATACTTCAATCTCTCCTAAGATCAGTCAATATTCTGCAAATTGATGGAAGATAAAGTCCTTTAATAAGGCTTGTGTAATGGCTTTGTAAGATTGAAAAGCTTGATTGTCGGTTTCTGCTGGAGCTGGGACATAATGATAACAATTCAATATTCTGTTACAGAGAATACTTCAATCTCTTCTAAGATCAGCCTTTGATAAGGCTTGTAAGATGATATATGTCCGATTGAAAGATGTCTTGCTGGAGCTGGGACAGGATCATAACATAGTGAATACTTCAATCTCTGCTAAGATCAGCCTATAAGGCTTGTACACTAATGTATGTCCGATTATTACAAGATATGTTGTTGTAACTGGGGCAGCAAGTTTAAATTCAATATTCTGTTATGCCTTTGGACAATGAAGTCCTGAGAAATTCAATACTCTGCAAATTTGATGGAGAATAAGCCTTCTTTAATGGTTATCTAACAAGGGAAAAACTCAATTGTTCGATTAATAGATATATCGCTGCAGGTGGGACAACATGTGAACTTAGAGAATACTTCAATCTCTCCTAAGATCAGTCAATATTCGACAGATGGAGGATAAAGTCCTTTAATAAGGCTTGTGTAGTGATGTTCGTTATGAAGAGCAACTGAAGATTCAATATTCTGCTGTGGGAAATATTTAAGTTTCTGCTATGATCAGCCTCTCTTAAGGATTGTACAATGATGTATGTCCGATTAAAACATATCCTGCTGGAGCTGGGACAGCAAGTTTCAATATTCTGCTATTAAAGAAAACTTTAATCTCTGCTAAGATCAGCCTAGAAGGCTTGTACAATGATGTATGTCTGATCAAAAGATATGTTGTTGTAGTTGGGGCAGCAAGTTAAAATTCAATATTCTGCTAAAGAGAATACTTCAATCTCTGCTATGATAAAGATTTGAACAATGATGGCCTAAGAAATTTGATGGAGAATAAATTAATGTCATGTAATTAAGCTGTTCTAATGGCTTCTTAAGGATGAAAAACTCAATTGTCCGATCAAAAGATATCTTATTGGAGCTGGGACAACATGTGAACATAGAGAATATTGTTAAGATTATGTCTTGTACAATGATGTCTTATTCTGCAAACTGATGGAGGATAAAAACATAAAAGTCCTTTAATAAGGCTTGTGTAATGGCTTTGTAAGATGGGAAAGCTTAATCGTCAGTTTAAATATTTATTATAGCTGGAGCTGGGACATCATCATAGCAATTCAGTATTTTGCTACAGAGAATATTTACATCTCTGCTAAGTTCAACCTTTATCAAGGTGTTGTATTCTGCTAATTGGTGGAGAATGAAGGTACTATTACAAGTCTTGTTTAATGGCTTTCAAAGATTGAAAAGCTCAATAGCCCGATTAAAAGATACCTTGCTGGAGCTGGAACAAAATATGTTATCATTCTAATAATCTGCTCTATAGGAAACTTCAATCTCTGCTATGGCCAGCCTTTATAAAGGCTTGGTCAATGATGTCCAAAGAAAATTCAAGTCTCTGCTTAAACTATACGTTTCAACTGCAAACTGATGGAGAATAAGAGCCATTTTATAAGGCTTGTGTAATGGCTTTCGAAGTTCAATTAAAAGATATTTTGCTGGGGACAGCGTGCTAATATTCAACACTATGTTATAGAAAAGAAAACTGCTAAGATCAGGCTTGTGTAATGACGTCTCGGGAAATTCAATTCTCTGCTTAAGACTGTACATCTCACTGAGATATGATATTCAAGATTCTGCAAGTTGATGGAGGATAAAAGTTAAGGCTTGTTCTAATAGTGAAGTCTCAAAGGTACGATTTAATATACTTTGCTGAAGCTGGGACAGCATGATAACATTGAATACTCTACTATAGAGAAAACTTCAATTTCTGCATATATCAGTCTTGGTTAAGGCTTTTACAATGATGTCTCCAAAGATTCATTCAGTTATCTGCTTAAATTATAAATCTCGCTTAGATATGATATTCAATATTCTGCAAACTGATGGAGAATGAAAAATGTTCTTTAATAGGAGGACTTGTGTTTAATGGTGTTCTAAGAATGTTGTCTGCTTAAATTTTTCCTAATATGCACATTGATGGAGAGTAAATGCCACTAATAAGGCCTTTCTAAAGCTGTTATATGGGAGAAAATTCAGTGTTTGTTTATATGGAGAAAAATCTATCCGTCTCTTCTAGAGATTGAAAACACAAATGTCTGCTAAAAAAAAACTCTTGCTTATTGGAATCTTGATTGAAAACACATGCAATATGTCTCTCCTAGAGACTGAAACACACTGTATTTAAGAGATTGGAATTTCAATTGTTCGGTTAATGATATCTTGTGGGAGCTGGGACAACATCTTAACAATCAGCATTGTGCTATCGAGAAAACTTCAGTTTCTGCATATATCACCCTTTATGGAGACCTGGACAACGATGTCCTGAAAAATACAACTATCTGCTTAAACTATACATCTAGCTGAGATATGATATAGGATAAACGTTCTTTAACTGGGACTTGTGTATAAAACGGTAAACATAGATTGAAATCTCGATTGTTGTGGCTGGGACAGCATGATACACTTAATGTACTGCTCATATGAAAAATAAGGATTCTCTCTTCTAGGAATCAGAATTCAAACATCTGCTAAAACTCTATCTTAATCTGCATAGTTGGGAAATTCAAGTGTTTATCTGCTTAAGGTCCAAAGACTGTATCTTGTTGGGCTGGGAACATGATAACATTCAGTGTTCTGCTTGTACAGAAGGAAAAAATATGTACTTATAGAAAAGGGCTTGTCCAAAAAATATGTTATAAAGACTGGAGACTCAATCTTACAGGACTAATAAATTGATCGCTATAATACTCCTCTAGTACATTATTCCTTGGAAAAACTCGAAATAATCAGATCAATTTATCCCAGTAGGTCAACAAAAGTTACATAACAAATCAACCCTGATCTCTCAGTAGATTCTCTCGAGTGTGATTCAAAAAGCCCAAAAACACAAGGGTTGAAGAACAAAGTGTACTCACTAGTCACTAGGATTTATTCTTCTGTACACTAGCAGAGCATAGAGGATATGCTTGAGGAGATATCTTATTCCACTCTCATCTCTCCAGACAACGCTCCCTCTTCATCTTCCCCATCAAACTCTTGTTCTACACCTTTAACCTGCACACAACCCCTTCATTAGAAGAAGAGACAGTAACAAGTTCTTGATCCTCCAATGGTTCCTTAACATCACATAACTTTAACACAAGATAAATAGGTCAAGAACTATACATGTGCAACAAACTGTTGGGATTATCTCTGTTACCTCGGATACATAATGCATCAGCATATTTTCGATTCCAGATTTCAAAGTAACAGATGAGCTTGGATGACCGCTCCAAGCTCCTTGCATCCTCAGCTGCACTATACCACTGTCCCTGATTAAACCCACCCAAAAGAATTTTACTTAAGAGATCAAAAGAAACAGATTCCCTTGATCATTGCTACAGCTCGAGGAAGTAAACTTACGGGTCAAACCCACAATACTCAATGTCCCCACCATCATCTTGGACTGCCGGTCTGATGCGCGTTTCTAAGAGTTCCTTGATTATTGCTAAGGTTTCAGAGTCATCCTGAATCACCAAAAGTTGCACCCACAATGAGGGAGAAACAACAACAACACTTGTAACCATTGGCTTATCTACCAAAATCTTGGAGAGCATTGCAAAACGTCAATTCACAATTAACATAACATCATATTATGGGGAAATGGTCACGCCCAACTACTACTTGAAGATCCTAAGGCATATTCATTAGCTCTCCAAAGCGACTAGTATACATTCCATAATCAAGCGACTAGTATACATTCCATAATCAAGTTTATGATGCCTATATAACATGTACAGCAAACTATCACTCTCCAATCCGTCAATAAATTCTCACGAGTCACGATACTGTCAATTATACACCAAACAATCAACACAAAATTTATCGAAACAGCACCCTGAAGAATCCAAGAGGTCTAGAGCAGTAGACTCTAAACGAAACTATTAGGAAGAAGACGATGAGAAAGTTTGTTAAATCAGTGTTTGCTACTGGTTTATCCTTTATCTGTTCAAGAAATGTTAAGAATGTAGTACCTGATGCGGAGCATCCGCGATAAGGTCACTGGTCACAGACTTTGACTATCTAAATCACTATTAAGGAACCTCTTTCAATAACATAGCTCACAAAAAGAAAGGAAAAAGGCATTATATCATCCATACAAAACAGATAGTACAGAAAGAGATTAGCTACGTTCTTTTCACCAAACAACATCAAAGTTTCACATATTCCAAGTCATTAACTTAGCACAGGAATTATTTAAAAAAAAAGAGATTCAGGCCCTAAATACATCTGCCTGCTTATCTACTGTAGTAAAAAGATAAATGTCTTATGAGGTTGATAATACAAGGATACGTGGATTTCCAAAAACATTGCTTGTAAATTCCTTAAAAAAAATATTAGCCATCTGCAACTCAGAATACAAAGTGGAACCAGCATGATCCAAGTAAGCAACACCTGCATATACCACAAGAGCTCATAAGTTTCAATCTCCAATATAGTACTGAAAGAAAAAATGGTAAAATCCGTCTGGATAATAAGCATTGTTTTTACAAAATCATTCAAATAGAAACGCACTATGATCCAATTCTGAACAATAACTGAATTGTTCATATGAGTACTGATCAGAGTGATCAAAATCAGTCTTAAAACTGCAAACCCGAAGTTCAAAAAACTCTTGAATTTAAACAAATCACAGAAGTTGTTCTGTTTCCATCGAGAAACACACAAACTCAATTTGAATACAATTCAATTTGAAACGTGTATCAAGTAGAGTGAGCTTTTCCTCCACAGACCCAACACCCAAATAGTTATATTTCCATAGAAAATTAAAAATTTCAGCTCAAAGAGGTTATATTTTGAACTCAGTGAGATCCGAGAGAAGAAGAAGTCAGACATGATTCAAAGAACAAGAAATTAAAAAACAGACCTTTATCTAGTAATCTCTTGAATTCGGTGTCTCATTGATGTTCTTGGGACCATGGGTATCCATAATAATTTCCGAATTCTTTCAGAAACGCTTCCATCTCGACGACTGTCAAAGAATAATAGATTAACATATCTCTCTCTGATAATCTCAGAAAAATCGCCGGAGGGAAGAAAGACTGGTCGTCTCCGGCTATTTTTAAAAAGTATAGTTTCCTTTTTTCACCTAATTATATATTTTTTTTGTCAAACACCTAATTATATTTAGATTTTGCTTTTACATAAAAAAAAGAAAAATATTGTATTTTCCCCATAATACATTAAAAATAATAATAAAAGACGCCAATAAAAAAAAAGGGAAATAGTAAAAGATGTCAAAAGAAAAATGGAAATAGTTATAAAAAAAAAGGAAAACTAAACCGAAGATATGGGCCTATGCTCTCAGGCCCATTATAACGGTTATTTCTAAGGATTCTATATAAGAAAGGTTGCGGTGTTCAATAGTTCTGAGATACTCACAATTTGCAAAAAAAAAAAATCATCGCTTTCGTTTTCTTTCTAGAGCGATACCGAAGATCTTCTTCTTCATCATCTCTCTTCTTATTCTTCTACATATTAGGGTTTCTGATTGTTCTGTTTCTACAAATCAAAAACCTCTCTGTTTCTTCTTTTTTAAGGAGATTCAGAGTTAACAAAAAAAAATCCCTGATTTAGATTCTTCTTAACGAGGGATTTTTTTCCAGAGACTTGTATGGTCTTTGGTTTTAGTATTGTTTTAAATTATGATACCCAAAGGAAAGCGACTACACATGACTTGTTTGTGTTTATCCGTTTTCCAACTTGGGTAAATTGTCCGATATCAGATCACATCTGTGATAAATAAAAGTCTTGTCTTGTCCGAATAATATTGTTTTGCTGTGCTGGGGCAGCTTGACACATGACATGATTGTGTCTGTCCGGTTTCAAACTTGGGGAAATTGTCCGATAGGTCCGTGAGAAATAATTGTGTCCGAATAATATGTG